TGGTTGTAGTTGGATATTTTCAAATGCAATTGACCTTCACTTTTTGTTGCAGGAAATGAGTGAACTGGGTTTTCTTTTGTTATAGCAGTGGCAAATTTGAGTAGCAGTAATATTGGCCGTGATGAGTAAAGAAAGAAGTGTAACAGTAGATGGTGAATCGTGTAAGAAGAAAGCATTTATAGATCATAGGATTTGGAAGTTCAGAATACTACTGACATGTTGTGTGGAATATAGTTGTCACCGGAGCCCATATTCATTTGTAGGGAGGAGTGAGGGGAGAAGAAGAAAGTGATGATTGTTGTAGTAAGGAGATGTTGTCGCTTTTAAAATGACGAGAAATGGTAAGCAAAAAGAAGCACCCATCCTGCAAAAAACGGAGAACTTTGGGGCTCAAATTGCCGTCAAAAGTTTTTTGGAAGGCAACATAGAGATAGTTAGAGGTAACAAACTGCGTCTTTAATTTCATTTTTTTGCTTTGAAAAAAAAAGTAAACAAGTTTTAGGTGTTTGAATAAGAAATTGAATATCGTTTGATTTGAGCTGTATTGAATTTTTTTTTGCAAACGTGTGAAAACAGTTCTCAGATGCTAGTAGTTTTCAATGGACAGTTTAGGACAATGTTTGTTAAACTTAAAAAACAATTTCTTTTTGTGTCCCTGAAAAAAAAAAAGTAGTAGAAAAGGTTCAAGGAAAGATCTTTTTCCTTCATATTCAGCAGGATTTTTATAGAGAAATCTGAGTACATTTTGTATCAGTTGAGTGGTTGTACAAATTTTTGTACGCTTCACTCAAAATATTGATCTTATCGATAACTTTAACACATTTTGACTACATCTTTTTGAGTACGAGAAAAGTAGCGTTTTTTGGCGATCACTAATTTTCTACAAAACGTCTTTTATGAGTGAAAGTAATAGTTTTTTTGCTGCATATAGACTCAAAAGATTGATTAAATGTGCTGTTAAAGTTTACCAAATGCTACGATGCTAAAGATATTGGATTCCGACACCAGCAGCAATATTATTTCTGACATTTTAGGGCGCCTACCATTGATGAGAGGAAAGGAGACAATTACAAGTGCTGTAATTGTTGAAAAATTGTGTGCAGCAGTGCCACTCTTCAAACTTTTTGAATCGGTGTAATTTAGATGTCGTCAAGGCAGTTAGTTGTATAGGATGTAAGATTCACGGCTTTAGTTTGTTTGTCGAGAGACTGAGTTATTTTAATCAGCAAGCATTACGAATGGACAGCTAAGTATTGCTTTTTTTTTTTTTTGTCAGCTTTCTAACAGCTCACCGTAACAAACAAACGAATTTTTTTTGACATTTTACACACCGTTTCAGGATCAGTTATTAAATTACTTGCTTCACATTTCTGCAAAATGACGCTGACGGTAAAAATTTATTTTTTACAGGCAGAAAGTACGCTCTTTTATCGTTTTCGTGATTCATAAGTGCAAAGAATGAACTAAAAGATACTGCACATAGGTCGCTTTCATCTCAGTGATTACATCTTTGTGACGCGTCAAACAAGAAAGTTCAAGGCGCGTCCCGTTGAGTAAGATTAAGAGCAACAACTTGAAACTAAGTAATCATCCGTTTCGCGTCCGCAGGATAAACTCAGGAACCACAGTATAACCACTGCTTAATTCTTCTCCAATAATTTTCTGCTTCAGCGGTGTTTTACAATAGCAACAATAACAAAAAAAAAAA